ATGAAATAAGATAAAGTGACATCATCTCGCTTGAGAAATATAATAGTAAATAAGAATCGACGGCGCTTCATTGTCGTCATGTTGATTTGTAGATTTTTTGATTAAACATTATCATATTTTGCATAATTGATTACATTTTTTAATTAGAAACGCGAGACACACACGTAGATTGAATGTCGAAGTTAGTTATTATAAATTAATCTTTGAAAAGATGTGCAAACGAAAAATAAAATTCCATTCTTTATGTAACGCTGGATGGATATCGATTTAACCAAATTTTAATATAAGCATTACTTTCCTCTTTACAAAGAATTTTTTAAATTAAATATTGAATAGTAGTGGGATACCAGTCGCGAAAATTGTTTAGAGAATTGGATAAGTAAAAAATCTACGAAGAAAGTTAGTACTTCACCTTTTCCATCGTCAGTATCAAGAAAAATGCTTAAACAGACTTTCGAATAAGTTCTCTGTCGTCGGTTGAGCAGGATGTTAATCGATTTTTTGTGTTTCAATGTCGAAGGACTTTCGAATTTTCCGACTCTTGCGGAATTTATCGAAACGAACGATCGCGAAGGGCAAAGCGATATATCACTGCCGCGTCTCCTAGTTTCAGCGCGCAGTTACTCCTCGCATCTTTTTGCACTCGACAACTGTCAATCGACGCGTCGGCACGGATTTGTAGTACTTTGACGGATTTTTCGCGCGGACGGGTCTGTCAGCGTGACGCGACACTCGGTTGATTGCAAACAGGATTGGCTATCGGACAAAGACGATGTGTCCTTGTGTCGATGATTACGCTTTTCACAGGCTTTGTCTTTGAACTGCACTAATACATATTTCAGAAAAACAAGATTACATATAATATAATATAATATTTTCGTACACATGCTAACCTCTTTGGGAGTTTCCACCGAGGAAACGCAAGCTTAAATTTGTCGAAAAATTGTGTGACTAAAACATCCTTAGTAGCAACATTGGGGAAATAAATTATTTTTTTACATATGAATAATGAAGTCCTCTTTTACTCCATTAGTAAATTTACTTTTTTTATAATTAGCTTATTTGTCCATATATATATTCATTAGATGTAATTAACTTGTCAAACAAATTTTGTTATCGTGCTATCGTATTTACTTAAACAAACAAAGGCAGATATTTGCATTGTAAATTCTCCCCAAGGCTCTTTTTGGGACTCGCTTCGAAGTTTTCAAAAGTGAAGGTAACGACGATCGAAAAATGAGACGACCTCCCGGTTGTCCGCATAGCGTCGATCCAACGTTTATCCTCGGCCGAACTCGCCAAAATCCGATAAACTGCCGATGAGACAACGTCTTCATGGTCGGGCGGACTGCCACCGCGAATTAAGCCAGAGCGCGGCCAAAGTTCGCTCGCCCGGTCGCGCTGACTCGATCGCGCAAACTTGCGCCGCGTTCCACGTAATGCCGAACACACTTCCGAGTTGAGGAAATCGCCGGATATCTGCGCCCACACGGATATGGACACGGATCCGTTTAATCTTCGCGCTATACGACGGAATTCGCGTGTAGGAAAATAATATATCGGCGTTATTGCACGTGACGTTTCGCGAGAATCGCTCTCGACCGTGCGTTACTTCCGTCCGTCCTCGAATCGAATTTAAAAGTCAATTAACGAAATCCCGTCCCCTAACGAAATATTCAGTTTTTGTGTTTAATTCCATTTGAATTCCAGTGAACGTCTAGAAAAATTCGATCATAAAATCCTTAAGGTAGTCGGTTCGTACATTGCCAGATTTTCACTGGCGATATTAAGGAGCCTCTTCATAAGTTTATTATTTATTAAAAAAAGAATTCGATGGAAATTTGTCTCAGTGTAAGAAAACGATTCGACGGATCAACTACCTTAAGTTTTCGACTGGTGTCAGAGCCGATTATCACGGTGCGCCTGCGAATGCAACGGCGGGGACGCGTTTCATTTACGTCGCTAGTATATATACGGTAACACGCGTTCGATCAGGAGGCAATGTAAGATTTCCACCGTGATTTACCTAACGGAATGCGGTTGATGTATGCGAAGGGCTCGGCGGATAGGCGCACGGTATTACCGCACGCTTGCGTAAATATCGCGCTGGATAGGTGTACCCACACGAGGCGTCGCAGCCGTGTTTGTCGCACATACTCATACCCACACCCACCCACGTGCATGCACACACGCGCGTCCACACGTACACATCCGTCGCGTGTGCACATATCTCGACCTGTAATTCTTTCTCGGCCTGCAGTTGTACTGTAAATCTCCAAGTTCGTCGCCGACGCTAATTCGAAGTTTGGCGCAGTTGCTACGGAGCTCCACACCCGCACGTGCGTACGTACGGCACGTGCTCGCACCAACGCAAACGGTCGTTTGCGTGAACCCTCCGCCACATAGATGCACGCACACAAACGCACCTATGTGCAAGCGAGGGTGCATAGCTACAGTTCTCGCGATATCGTCATTGCGAGAGAGCGGTTAGTTGCGAGGGGATGGGGTCTGGCCGCTTGAACCACCCGCGCAGCGAGGAAAGTCGCGTCTTTGAAGGGAGTTCGGGCGAAATCGGTGTGTACGCGTTTCCCTTCGGCTGCGAATAATTGCCGCGGATGATGGCATCGAGGTTAGAGTAGCTGCGACGTTGTGTAGAGAGGTGTGTGTGCGTGTGTGTGTGCGCGCATATATGTGGGTGTGGGGTCAGCTGCAAACACCGCCGAAACTCTGCCAGCGGATTTTGCAAGCGACTCCGGCGGCAAAGCCGCAGCCGCTCTTTACGGCCTCGACCGAGTGGCGGCTTGGCCAAAAGCTCGTCGTCCCTGGATGACGTCGTCACTCCTAGATGACTTCGCGCATCTTCGATAGAGGGTCTGCGCGACACTGCGAAACGATCGTTGTTCCACGTTCTTCTCACCGTACGGCGTTAATCGCGCGATTACACGATGTGATAACGATATTTTGGGCAGATCGCACCAACCGATGACGAAATGTCGAGTAATTACATTTTCCTTCTTGCGAGAACGATGACAATTTAGAGGAAGGGTGAATGTAACGACATGTGCGATTAGGCGTCGCAGCTTCGACGACTACAGCCAGTTAATTACGACAATTAGCGATGTTGTAGCATCTCGTGAATGCGAGCAGGGATACTTTATAATTTGCGTTGTGTGCAATACAGACAGTGCTAATGAGAAAGATAAACAGCGGGCTCAACAAGATTATCGCGAGCAATGGTTTCAAGAGGAGTAGAATACTGCAATAATCCGCGAAAATACCGATTGTGAATTTTCAAACGCCGCGCTTGCAAAATTTCCCGCGTTTGTTTGCGGCAGAATAAGCGAAATGCGGGAGACGAGAATCAATCATTGGAAACGAGCAAAGGTGAAGGAGCGAGACAACGCGAGACAACGCGAATAGCAAAACGAATTACAAGAATGGGACAATACCGCAAATGCTACGAGGAAAAGCTCTGGAACGATAAAATGGCAACGCGCAGTTCGCGAATTTACTCGCGGTTTCTACTTCGTGAGTTTTATCGAACGCGGAATGAACGTAGCGAACGGAGTCCATTAATACTTTAATCGAGCGACATGTCTTGATCTAAAGTGTTCATCACGTTTGTCGGAATTCCGATTTGCGTATCTTACGATGTTCACGAACTATATAATTGTACTTCGGACGTTTGAAACAAGTCTGATAATCGGTAAAGCTGGAACGATAATAAAGCGCAGCAGAGAAATAATTGGTGGTCGTTCGAATTATGAAAAAAATTATTTCTTTACGAGAGATTGCTAAAATAGATTACTTTGTATCTTGATAATGTCGTTGTAAGAGTTACTAGACACGAAGGAAAGCGAAGTTCCAATTTGAGAAATACGTCTCGAAATAGAAATGACAGGCGAGACATAGTTGCACTTTAATCATTGTCAAATTACTCGTGACATCTAATTACATTACTTGTGTTAAGATTACTAAAGAGCTAATTAGGTGTAATTATCTTCGAGCCCTTCCAATATACCTCCAAACGTAAACCACTTTAACACTAGATACCGAAGTATTTTAATCCTATTATCTCAGCTCCTTCGTCGTAGGTAATACGTATTCATCGAAAATTCCCGGTCGAAGCGAGCTGTGCAAAAATGACGGTAGTTTTCCAGAGATCTCGTGAAACTAAAGTTACTAGATCATTTGGGAGGTTGTTATTTTGTTTACATTACTCGTTATTCCTTCATCGTCAAACCGTACAAAATCTAACCTAAATCGTGGGTTATTCGTTGGCCACCGCACAACACGCGGCGCGATCTCGATCGAAACTACCGGCGGATTAAATGGATCCTTGTCACCCGCCGAGACCAACCTTGGGCCATCCCCTAGCTGCCAACGACTATACGTCCTGCGTGTCCAGAACAGACCGGATTGCGGGGGCCAAAGGGCACGTAGAAAGGGAGAGAATTTTCTTGCGAGACACTCTGTAGATAGCCCGGGCGAGGCTGGAGGACGGAAAGGAGGGATAATTGAATACAACTTGATCGAGCCGCGCGTTTCCACCCCATTAAATCGGGCTTAAGCTCGTAAGAGTGGGTGGGAGAGACCGTTGGCGGGCCGAGGAAGAGAAGGAGGCGGAAGAAGAGGGTCGGATAGCGCCACGTGGGTGCGAGCGGAACGGAGATCCCGAGAGAGAGTAGTGGAGGGAGCGAGAGGGCAACCCTCTCCGGCAGCCGCCTCGGCAAGGCGAGAGAATGTTTACTGCTGCCCCAGCTGGAGGCCAATCAGTATAGCCGTTCTCCGTTCGCCGCCACCCTTCCGTCTGTTTCCTTCTACAGAGGGGGTGCGATATCGTAGCCGTACAATGGAAATGTCGACGGCAATGGCTAGGCCCGTCGTCGTTATACAGCCGGATTATTCCTCGCCTCCTCTCCACCCTCTCCTTCTCTCTCTTTCTCTCTTACTCACTCTCCTCCCTTACCACCGTTATAGCGATAATCAAATTAACTCACTTCGAGTTTTAAAGACACCATCCCTCGCCGAACCACCCCCGAACTGAGCCGAGCCGAGTCGTTCGCCCGCCAATTCGCCGCAGCCGCGTTCTCTTCTCGACTCCACTCGGTCACTCGCTTATATCCCAACCGCTCGAAGCGCGGGATTGTGGAGTAGCTTTCCTTCATCGTATCCCCTCCTTTACCCGTTTCCGTCGCTGTCTTTCATGTGCGCCTCGTCACATCGCATAAATCGCTCGCGGAGTCTTAATGTCATTCGCGAAGTATATCGATTAGCGGACTCTTTTTTGCTTGATTTCCACCGGATCTCCGCAAAAAATTAACTTTTTGCACAGTAGGAAACAGTGATGACTTTGAAAAAGTTAATGGGAGATAATAATAATAACAATATTTATTTTATTAACGTTAGAAAAAAAATAGAGAAAACGTCGGATGAGAGAAAATTAGAACGTTCAGATGATCTAAATGACATAATTTTAAAGTATTTTTCAAGTAGAAACATTGTATTTTTTATATATTGTATTCTATATATTATATATTTTATCCATGATACATCGGTTTCTGACTGTACTTCATAAATAAATATGGTTCAGTAAAGTATATAGAATGATGCGAATATATTAATGCGTTAAATTATGCGTTTAATTCCAAGATAGGCATCACGTTATAAACATTTCCGCTCGAGTCGGCGAATTTTATATATACGTCGATTGAAACCGGATGTGTTATTTTTTGATACGCGATTATAGCTGTCACCAGATTGAGACCAGTCGTTGGATTTCGAATCGACGAACATCATCGCAACATTCGTATCTGTGTTGTGCAGTCTATTTTGTTTCAACAGATTACATTTCCTGCGTTGGGGAGACACTCTGATAGGTCCAAATCATAATGTCACATGTTTTTAGTTCTACACGAATATAGATATTGAAAATGGAAAATAAAAGAAAAATTCCTAAAGCTTGCACACTTTCACATCATTCGGATTAAATACAAAAATACATATATTTTTTCTATAAAAAAATTTTATTCCCAAAAGAATTTTTAGTGATTGTCAAGAAAATACGTTTGCAAGTTGGGATCAGAATTCATAACTTTTGCATTGAATTCAGAGAGTGGGATTTTTTTTTTAGAACATCCGCTGAGAATACTAATTTCAAGCTGTATTGAAAGACGATTGCTTGAAATTATATTGTGAACGAACTAGCTATTTATTAAAAAATATAAATCGGTTTAAAGGCGATTGAATGGAATTACTGTTTTCATCGAAAGCTTATCCTTTGCGCGAAGCTCGAGAGTACTTCCGGATCGTGTTTAACGCGATTTATATCGGTGGAAACAGAAAATTCGTTGGGCGTTATATCGCGAACGGTAAGTGATCGGCTAGTTGATGGAAAAGAAGTATTTGGGTCACGACGAGCACGCCAATGACTCGCTGCATTTTTAAAAGGATCTCGTGCTTAATCTGCTAAGGGGAAGGTGGATGCATAGTGCATAATCCGAATCGAATTTTTGCCTTTACAATCAACCTATAAATTCCGACGAATCAATGGAGGGAATCTCGAAATATAATATTATATAAGATATTATTTTACTCCTCTCTCTCTCTCTCTCTCTCTCTCTCTCTCTCTCTCTCTCNTAAGGTAAGAATCATAAAATTCCTAAATATTTTTGTAAGAATGAGATATGATGGATGCACCATTTATAACATCGGCCTAACTTTCGACACAGATATTTCCCTATAAATTTCTTAAACATTCGTTAAAAATAGAAACATCGTGTATAATAAATGATTTTAAGTACCTGGAAATCCGTTCTGGCTCCTTGGTTACTGATATGTCGTAGCGTTCCAGACACTCCGTGGCAATGATACGATTAAAATATAATTCGATTGGAGAAATATATACTAATTAATACAATGTCAACAAGAGCTGAAATAGATATTTCAAGAACTGACGAAATATCTTAATTATCTAACGACAATCGTGTGTATTAACGTTAATACGTATTTCGCGCCGCACTATGTTTATTGCTCGATGGCTCGAATTATAATGACTCTCTGTTACAGAACTCTGTTATAAAAGAGCGTTAGAAACTCTGTTACAGAAAAATAGAACAAATAAAGATATTAGGACAAAATATGGCATCATATTTAAACTAAAAAAAAAGTGGAAATCGTAACGAACATGCTTATAGAGCGATAAGACTTATCTTCGTATGCTGCTCTCGTTATGTTTCAAAAGAAATAAAACATACAGCGTAATTTAGCTAATGTTTTATTTGTGTTGTTTTGTGTTGTGTTGTTTTGCTTTGTTAATGTTACTACTATCAATTAAAGTGTTAATATTTATATTTCGGAAATAAAGCGCTTTAGAGAAAAAATATTTTATACAAAAGTTTTGTGACTTTGAAAAGGACATAACATGATATCATTAATATGTCTTTGAATAGTCGTTTGAAGATTACGTGAAATATTATCTTCAATTTCTTAAATCTCCATCTTACATATTCTTGTAGCTTATCTCGAGAGCTTTACAAAACACTATAAGGAAGTATTTTTTTATTAAGTATTTTTCGAGTTATGAACGCGAGCGTGACATGGTAGACAACGCACCGGTCTACTATGTTTAGAGGTCCCGGGTTCGATTCTCGGTTTTTCTAGAAAGCAGAACTCTTAGCAGAACCAGAAAATTTTTCATACGCTCGTAGCTCTCCTCTTCGGTGATCTGGCAAACCCCAAGAGTATTCTTGCCAAAAAAACCTCTCTCCAAAATTTGCCGTTCGGAACCGGCGTTTAAACTGTAGGTCCCATATGCATGTGTATAATCTGCATGTGCATTACATGCATATATGTGTGTGAAAAAGAGGTAGGCCTAGGACCGACATATGGGGCTGGAACGCTATTGGATTGGATCTTTCGAGTTGTAAGGCTTGAAAGTTACAATAACGCCGACATTAGCATTATCCAAGATGTACCGTGTGGAAGTTATCCGGTTGATTCTCTTCGACTCAATTTTTCACGAGGAATAATGCTGTGTAAATAATAATAACTGTTAAACATAGTTGCATAATATTTATGAAATCATTAGTAAGGTAGAATAACTTATACAACTGACGTAATATTTTTTATTTTCGCTTCTGACTTTTGCGCGCAATCTAAAACATTACTCAACATTTTATTTCGCTGAAGATGGCCCGAAATGAGATTGAAACGCATTCGACCTATTTAATTTAATTATTTTATTTAATTTAACATATTTAACTTGTAAGTTTGTATAGATAAAACAAACGGTATATGTTAATCTGGTTCTTTTATACATCAACCTCAGGCTCCACAATTTCCTTGTGGTTGACCTTGACTTGGATATTACTTATGTATTACAAGAGTCATAAATTTATTTATTTATTTATCCACTGCAGAGATTTATTGTTTCCAAAAATAGCATATCTCACAGAAAAGCTTTTTAGAAAAACCGAGCTTTCCCTCCAGAATTGCTAAAAAGATCGATTACAATCGTTAATCGCGATAATAGCACGAAATTTGCATAACATAATATAATAAAGGGGAAGAAAAGAAAGGATATGCATTTCACGCGCGAAAGCGATAGTCGACTCGATAAGCATTGAAACACGTTAGTGATGCTCGGTCGCAACCAAGGAAATGCATTTAAGTATGCATTACGAGTCACATCGAGAATCCCACTGGATTAAGCATAATACGCAACGGCAGAAATGCGAGCCGTGATGTCCATTATGCCGTCATATTTCGAGGCGAACACTTATACGCCACGAGTCTGGTCGACCGACGATATCGATGATGACGTGCATCGAAGTTAAAACCGTCCGCTTTAAATTATGCATTCCGCTTAATGCAAGTAAAATTACCAAGAATGGTTTTATATGCGTCGTACCTGATGCAAGAGATATTCGAAGAAATGTGCCGTATAATTAGCGAGTTGTGCGATGAACTACATTTATTTGAAAGCAATATCGGTATTATATCTTAATATATTTTTTCCCGTCGATATGTAATGTCGAAATTTGACTGGTAAGATTTAAATATTGCTCTACAGAGTAATTACAACTGACTTTGAAAAAAGGTATCGAAATAAAAGCATTTATCGCGGATATCGAAGAATAGGATGAGTTAAAAAAAGAATTGAAAATTAGAATCAGACAGCCGAAATAGAATCACTTTGTGAGATAAATATCGTTGACATTGATTAAAATAAATTCGACAATAAGCCGGGCATATAACAATGAACACGATCTTGTCATTCACCATTTTCGATCTGTTTAAACCATTCTAATTTTTCATTGTGATACATTAAGCAGTTATTACATAAGTGGTGCATTAAGCAGTTATTACATTATTACAATTTTTTACGTTATTACATCATTACAATTTTTCTTAGTCGATTTAGGGCGCGTCTTCATTTTCATTTTCTCTATCAGAACTTAATATTTTACGGGTAAGAATTGCAAATTTCGACGCGCATAATCAATCGATAACGATAGATGGAGATTACGCATGCAACTGACAAGTTCACTAAATCAGCGTACATGTAACGCCCGATACGCTTATAATTAATGTTAATGCGGCGATTAAACATCGTACTTGTGTATTCGGCGTTCGACGCGAATCGTTAATTCTAGCATTATCGCTGTTCGTTCGATTTGCAATTCGACGCATTTTTCCGCGACGGACTGCGCGCAAAAGAATCTGAGATTTCACGGGGATTCTGTCTCGCAAGGTAGCGATCCGTATCACCAATCAAGTCCTTTCAATCCTCGACGAAGCAATCGATGCTTTCCCTCAGCTCCCCTATCCTTCCCATTCCCGATGCTGATACTTGTTGGGAACTGAACGTTCCTTGATTTACCTTCGAGCGTAGCTCGTCAAAGAGCATTTGTTCCGGAGCGTCGGCTTCTCTAATGATTCTTAATATCGCACCCTCGTTTATGGCAGATTACACAGCGCGCTTCGCTTTATCCGAGGAATATCGGGATTATTGGTATAATGATCGGGGGGATTGAGATGTCTATTGCGTTAAACTAGTTCCGTCCGATTTTTT